CTTTGAATGCCAAATGTCCCTCATGATTGGTTTGAAGGATGGCTTGTTCCAGCATACCAGTTGCAGTAAATGTTGGGGGGAAAATAGCTTCCTTTCCTGTTTTTCATCATTGCTACTTCCTCTGTGTCCTTTTCATGCGTCTCCCGGCCCCATCTTTACAATGCAGCTTGGAAACACTTATGAGTCAAGCATAAAAAACACACAAAGAGAAACAGGTTATCTGATTGATGTTAGGGGTGTGCTTTAATCTAGAGGAGTGCTACACCACCGCATCCCCACTCTGAAGTGTTTGGGCTGTAGAAGAGTGCTGCTCTGCTTCTCTGAAACAGAGAGGGAGGCAGGGTGTAGATCAATATCCCAGGAACACACCAGAGACATTCTATTTTATTAAACATTTTCCCATTAAGGCGGTGGCGCAAGCATTGTAGATCATCCCAACAAAGTCGTAAATCACAGACAGACAGCAGTATTGGAAACAACGGGCAGAATCAGAGGAGATTTGGTGTTTGTGCTGCTGGGAGCCTCGTGTCTCTTGTTCTTACATTACCACCCATTTCAGACGGGGGATTGGTTTAGTGATAGTGTAGTATCAAAATCATATCGTGTTCATTCAGCAAACTTTCGCTACAGTTAAGCTAATATGCAGAGAGGACAAAACGGTCCCAGATCTAGCACACCAGCTCCAGACAGCGATACTCACTCACTCTCCTGCTACAATGGCTAACATCACAACAACAACACGTCTTGACCAACTAGAAAGTAAGCTGAATGTCTGTGGGCAAGTCATTTAACGCTACCTGACACGTAAATCCTGGCTTTGAAACTTTCTTTATTTCCCACTTACAGAGCCAGGCCTGTGTACAAACACAAGATTTTTTTTTTCAGCGCACACACAGAACAGAAAGCCAATAGACCATGAGGACATATTCGCTGAATTTGACAAAAAGACGTGCATTGGATTAGAATCACATTCTCCACCTTTAAAGGAGAGTTAAAATTGGACTTCCGTTCATTAGGTGGCCAGAGACACGGCTCCAAATGAATGCTAATGTTTCTCCCTGTTGGCTGGATGTGTAAATAAGCTGCTTGCTAACACATTCACCTCACTGCCCCTAAGTGGCCAAAAATCAATTCTTACTGCTCTAGCAGGACACACCCATATGTTGATGTAAGGGTAGTATATTTTCCACAGTTAAAGTCTTTTAGACAAATGAAAACGCTGACGGAGCCCACCACAGCCTGGCATCACGTAGAAGGTGGGGTCTAAACGGGTGGGACTTAAATACTACATCAATTCAGATCAAGCTCTTCTCTCAGTTGGTGTTAACATACAAAAATCCAAAAGTATCCATAAAAAGTATTGAGCAAGAATAATCCTATTTGCTCAAAAATAAAAAAAATCTTCCAATATAATTCTAATTGAGGCTCAAAACGTCAATTACACTCTGGTTTTGTCCTAGCTTCCTTTCAAAACCCTCCATGTCTCACATCTGAAATAGCAGATTAATTACTGCTCAGATTTCTTTTGTGCTCGCTCAATAGTTTTGTCGTTAACAAACTTCCTTAAATCAGCAGTTGCGAAAGGAGAGCAGAGAGCTTATCGTAGGCTTTAATCCAGTTTGTGATGTTTGAATTGATATCCTTCTCTACTTTCAAATTCTGCCTTTGTAGCCTACTGTTATTTGTCGTGTTCACCTATTAAGAAATGACAAACCCAGAACAAGATAGCAGGTAGGGGTTGGGTGCGTAGCCCAGGGCCACTTCAACACAACAGATGGCTGTTGCTGGGATCGAGTCTGTTACTGTTTGGTTCCAGGGTGTTCTCCTCGAGCACTGCACCACCATGCCACCCAGTTCAGATTGTACTTCGTTGGAGGCCATTTTCTAAAGCAGATGGAAGGTGGCTGTACTGCAGTTTCATAGGCTTGTATGTTTGAGAGCAAGCTAGTAGATCTGCCTGTAGAATTTGTTCTCATAGAATCCCGCTCATTTCCTTTGTTCTTTCTCGTTATTAATCAAGTCATGTCATATTTATTTAGAAAGCCCTTTAAGAAAACAGGGTTGTCATAAAATATTGTGTTATATTGTGCTGTATTGTACAAAGAACAAATAATATAAAGACATATAATAGACATAAAGGAGAGAGACTTTCACACTAATCATGCTGTCAAGAAAAAAACCCTCACAACTGTTCTTTCCTTTGCTCAAATCTCCTTTCTTTTGTATAATATTCATTTTGACAAAGTAGCGATTTAAAATTTTGTACTGTCTCCCTCATTGTGAAGTCTGGCGTCTACTTGAATGTCTGAAATGTAAAATGTTTGCAACTCCATTACTTTTTGAATTATGGTGATTTTATTTTTGTACCATTTTATTTGTGCAAAGATCTGTGAATAACAGGACAGAGCCTGGATGCCCCTGTATTATCATGGCAACTTTGTTATTCATATCCATCTTTTCACAGCAGTCTAATCCACATGCATATTCAATGTGCCGCGGACAATCAGAGGCTCTGAGCAGAAAATGTGCTCAGGTCTTCAGGGAGGTGTTGCCTGCTTCCTCTGTGCTGTTTGTTGACAGCCGTTTGATGAGAATGGGGATGGTGCTAAATCATATCACAGCATAAAGCGGTGCTGCAAATGAAAACATTTTATTCTCACATAAATTATAGTGGTTTTTTTCATATCATAATATTGCATCAGTATCTTTCTGTCCCCCTGATGCAAGCTGATTAAATTGCCTTGTGTATTTAATCACTGTAGATCCTAAAATCCTTTAAAAACTTTTCCAATGAGTACAAAAACAGTATAAAACTGTCCCCCAAATTACAGCCGTTTTTATAGTATGTGCAGGCAGCTTATTACAACCCATATTTACGTTTATTGTTAGGTGGTGACCTCTGATGGCCATACTTGGGGCCTAAACCTACATTACGTGTTTATTATTGTCGCTAGTACTCCAACGGTCATGTATGTCGTAAAAATACTGCTAAGATCAGAACAAGGTTAAGTGTACATTAGGTCTTTTAACATGATAGGAGATGTTTCTTATACATTTGGCTAAATTTGTTGTGACTCAAACTTCCAATCTTCCACAGTGCTAGATTCAAGGAAACTTACTTTCATGTGAGAATGTGCTGCACCAGTCAACTCAGTGCTTTAGGTGTAACAAAAGTAGTGACGCTCCGTGGCCACTTCCTTATTGAGGCATTTAGGTTTATCAACTTCAACAAGGCCTTGCTTTCGATTAGATTTCTTTGCATTTCTTTTCTTTCACTTCTGTCATGCACAAAAACTACAAAACTATATTTTATTGAAAAGCTATAAAAACTCTCCAATGCTAAATGTAACTTTGGTCCAAAGATCAAGACATGTCAAGTTCTTTAGGAAATGGAAACATGCGGTCTGGATGTTTATTTTCAGAGACTTACATCCAAGAGGGATGATTTTTGTTTGATTTTTGTGGTTTTAAAAAAAACAGATGTCTGTTTATTAATATTTACTTTAATCATTGATGTATTCTCCTTATTTCTGTGACTTCGTTCTCTGGAGGTTTGTGTTGTAGCTTCTACTGTTTATACGATAACATTTTGTTGAGCACTTTTATTTGGACATTTCTGTATTAGAAGTGCAACGTCCTCTGCATGATTTGAGCGACGTGATAGAGAGCCTGTGAAGTCAGCTGTTCACCTGCACAAATCAGACTTTGTTTGCACTGAGTTTGGATCTCCCAATCCATTTGGCATATCCAAGCTCAATGTTCTGTGACTCAGCTCACTTAGGATCAGAATCGCTGATATTCTGGATGGAACCAGGATTTTAAAACTCATTTACTGGAAAAACACCCTGAAACATTATCACTATTACCTCTAACTGCTCCCACCTGCCAGCCTTCATGAAAAAAATTGGCAACCCAGTAGCCAACAATAAAGTCATGCATGGTGGGGTTCCATCAGCGCTGGCTACATTTGGCAGACCTGTAGCCTCCTCTCCACCAAAGCAGGTGATGCACCCCGGAGCGCAGTGCTCAAATAAACAGAATGTCTCAGATGCTGCCTCATCATTGTACACCAGATGCACAAGAGCCAAAAGATATGCTACAGGAGCAAGTTTTGCCAAAACCAATTGCAAGAATGTTATTTTCTTGCTGCTGGCATAAAATACAAACTGCTATCTGATCACAAAACTCATTCCAAATGATGAAATGTGAGGGCAATTCAAATCTCAGGCTTAGGCTGCAAGACTGATATGTGTTTCCATGTGCATGTACTGTATATGGATGGGTATGTATTTATATGTCTGTCTTGTATGTCTCTCTTTTTTCTGTAGCAAACAGCCAGTCAGCTGCCATGCTGCCATTAAAAAACTCTGATTGTTGCTTTCATGGCATTGATTTGAAATTTGACATTTAGGAGGAAGTTCCCTTTAGCGTTTAATCATATTTTCCTTTTTCCAAAACAAAGCAATAAAGCCTTTGCCATGTCCTCTGCTGCAGCTCCTCATTTCCCCGGCTTAATTGAAACCGGTGTGCCCTATGAGTGTTGCCAAACCATAACAAACAAATCATTTACAAATGCTCTTTTTCCTAAAGCTAATTCAAAGGCACCAGCTTCCCTTCTTTTATCCCGCCACATAGAAAGAGTTTTCCCTGGGAGTCTAGTGATAGTATTAGTTGAAGTAAAGTCATCTGCACTCTTTATTTGGTCTGTCCCCCTCACACTTTCCCACACATAGATTAAGCTTCAGAAGCTGCCTCTTGGCAATTAAATCTATCAGAGGGCAGCAGAGAGCGCTCTGTCAGAACTGTTCCAATAATTGCAATTTAAATGAATATGGATTCAAAAACTTTGACAACACAGAGTTATTTTGCAACTTGGTAGGCTACTGGGGAAAAAACCCCTGAAAAAGTGTTCTCTCCCATCACATCTCTTGGTTTGTTTTCCTTTCACCTCGGATGAACAGGGGCCTCTCATTTACTATTCTCTTTCTTTTTGTTTACAGACACATAGAGAACTGGACAGGATTGCAGACTCTGAGAGACGTTGATATGGAGCTCTACACTGGACTGCAGAGACTGTGAGTGTTGATGCTGTTATCTGGAAGGGAGCGAGGGGAGACCAGTGATAGACACACTCCTACTGTGTTGCAGATCTGGAACCTGTACCGCTGTTAATCCTTGTTTTCCATCATGTTTGCCCGTCTGCTCACCGCAGAGAGGCCAATGGTTTTCTCCTAGAGATGAGAACAGTAATTCAGCTCAGTGGCGGCCGCTGCAGCATCACCAGCAACGCATTGGGATTTAATGGCAGATACTTCTCACAATCCCATGTGACACAATCCCAGCTAATTCTCAGCGGAGATGGCAAGGTGTTAGTCAGGGTGTGTAGAGAAGAGGGAGTGAAGGGTGTGTTTCTGATAATAACAAAAGCAGATGTTTAAACAAGCTTTTAATTCTCGACAGCCACGCGGTGGTGGAACATCCCCTTCACTTTGCTTAGCCACTGAACAAATAATGCTAAAAAGCAGCAGGGAAAATTGAATTAGGGTTCCCTGCTGTTGCGTTGTGATTCTTTTTTCAATTCTCATCTCTTCACTTCTTAAAGCAATATTACACTCCTTTGCTACCCTGAACTAAGAGGCCACATCCTCTTGCCCTGCCACCCCTCCCTTAGCTGCTGCCTGCCGACCTCCTCTTCCTCTTCATTTTTCCCTCTCTCCGCAGAGAACCGTATTCCTTTGCCCTCCAAAGTCAGAGCTGGCCTCTCCCCTGATCCCCTTGATCCCTCATCAGGGAGGCCAAGTGCAATATCTCCACCACTAAATTAGCATTTTTCTCATTACCACCGCCTCTCTCCTGCTGCCTTGTCTGGGGACGTTGGCTCCTCCCCGGCTGGAGTCGGGACTTCCCAGGAAGGGCTGTTACCTTGTGTGCTGATGCCTTGTGAGGCTGTTTTGCAGTATGGAGGGATGAGTGAGGAAAAGCTTACTCTAGCAAACCTTACATCACTTCATTTTACCTCATTCACCTTTATCCGAATAAAATGCAAAAAAGATACAACAATTAATTTAAACAAACAATGACTTGTTGAATATGTTATATAACTTTACAGTATAAAAAGCTGCCTGCATTCTCCAACTGCTTTTATTCTGTAAAGACCAACATAGTTTATCCTCACCTTTCTACAAGTGTAGCATTAACACTAAAAGTAGTCTACAGGCTGCTGTATCTGTTGTAACATGAGAAGTCGTTTCAGGCAATTTACTGTAGTTACTTTAAAAGGAAAGGCCTGGTTATATTGTATACTTTTGTTATTGTCAACAAATCCCATGAAAAAAACAAAACCAACAGCGTGTTAGTCCCTTCTTATATACAGTCTATGGTTAGTCCGTGTCTCTCTTTCAGACTTCACCAGCCTTTCTGTGGCTCTCAGCCCCAAGCCCACTGGTTCCTACTCAGGACATGAATCTTTTAAAAAAAAAAATCCTTTCCCTTAAAACAGCCGGGCATTGTAGTTCTTGGCAAACATTATGTCAAAACAGGAATAAATAGTGTGTTAGTTTCAGACCGTTTTCAGCTGTGGATTAATACACATTTGAGTACTTAATAGCAGTAGGATGCTGTATGTGGGATTGAGTCAAAATAAACTACAGTGTGTGTTCGTGGTAATGAAGGAACAAGTCACTCAGTGCAACAGTGAGGCTCACTGATATCTTTTTAATAGTTGCCGTTCAACAATGGAGCTGTAATACTTGTTAGTTGGATCAGTTCATTGCCACTTTAGGTAGACCATAACTAGCTGGATCCCTGTTACTTTGGTGCATCATTGTTCCAACATATGTACTCAAATGTGTGCATTTATTTTAGGCAGTTGCCAGTTGGCATCTACCCCAATTTTGGCCTTACATGTTCCCTTTATATCTTGTCTTAACTTTTATCTATTCTTCTTTAACAAAGCAAATGTATTTAAAGAAGAAGAATAAAAAGAAGATTTTTAAAGGTAGTTCAAAAGCACCCCTCAAGTAAAGATGTTCTTTGGTGAAGTGCTGTGTGCTCACTCGGTTGACACAAGGATTTAAAAAATCCTGTATTGTTACTGTTCTGTTACTGTTGTACTGTTTACTTAAATGTGTTTAAAGCTTTCTGACTTGTTTAAAGCACATCAAATGCAGCAAACATCAAATGACTGCTGTTTATAGAGATGATTGTGTTCAATATAACTGTTAGTACTGCTGGGATCCTTGTACATTATTGTGTTAATTTCTAGGGAGTGAAGTAATAGTGAAATTACTGCTGTACATTTTTTTGGGAAGACCATTGGACTGTTCCCAAGAGCCACAAAAACCCTCTCAAGGAGCCTTAGAAGTCCTGGTGTCCCACTTTGTAAATTTTTGGGTGATGAAATGCCACATTCCAGTCAAACACCACAGAGGCGCGATCAGATTTCTAGAAGGTAATTGGCACCAACAGCTGGGTATAATCAGCACACTGCGTTATGAGGCGCTCACTGATGATGTCAATGACTTCTTCAGAGAGAGACATCTGTGATTACAAGATTAGAAGTCATTACCATTGTAGCCCAGAACAGTGGTTCCCAAACTGGGGGGCTGGGAATTCCAGGACTCCTTGAGAGGATTCCATGGGGTCCCCAGCAAAATGAGGATTAGCTTAATTTCACAGCTTTTTTTTGCTCCATACAAGTTGACACAATGAGGAAATGTGTTAGAATGTTTGCACTAATCAGAGGTTTCACTCGCTTCACAATAAAGACACACAAGTTCACAAATCTCTCATCGAAGTGGCTGATTCAAAGTGAATTTCCATTTCAATAATTGGACTTTAGACAAGGAACTCTAAAATTGTTCAGTTTATTCACATGACTAAACATTTTCAAACTGAAAAAGTAACACATTTGACAGTGAACTCTTGTGAGGCAAAATAAAGCACCAAAATAAGGCAGGATAGTTACATGATCATAAAACTGTGATACTGTGTGCATGTCTTTTTATGTGCCCACGCTAGGAAGAACAGAGATGTCTTTGTTTACGTGATTTCTTCACAGTTTCATCTGTATTTTATTATTTCAGAACTATCATGAATTGCAACCTGAGGGTGATCCAGGCCCGAGCTTTTGCTCAGAATCCACACCTACGCTACATGTGAGTAAATATTCTATTTTTGACAACCATGTTTCCCGTGCCTTCAAAGGATTTATTATGATTAGTAATGCCTGACAGCTTGTAGTATATGGCTATACATGAGTTAGTGTTGAGCAGAAGATGATGCAGTTGATAGAGACAGGAAAATTGTGGCACTGCCATTACTGTTGCAACAGCTGCACATCTTAAATGAGACATCCATTATTTGCCTTGGATAATTGGATTCCTATCTGCCCCGGTTCTTTGTGCTTTGGTAGAGTAACATGCCAAAGACGTAGTTCCATTTAGTCTGCACTCGCCAAATGGACAATTTGTCCAGGAGGCTGAGCGTCAGAGAGCTGTGCGAAGAACAAGGTAATTTCTTTAACAAAGGCTGATGTGTCAAACCATATGACAGCCTGTTATTCCCCAATTTTCCAGGAGTAAATACGGTGAGGAACTCAGCCACAGTCTTTCACCTGAACACATTGCCATTTGCAATTTCCAGTTGTCAGTTGAGAGGCAGTTTGGTCTCTCTTTACTCCTGTGGATTACTGCTATTAGGCTTGAATCTGTACCTCCTGCACTCTGTGTGTGTGTGTGTGTGTGTGTTGTGTGTGTGTGTGTGTGTGTGTGGGGGGGGTTATAAAGTAAATAAGTATTTGCCATTTTAGAACTTAATCCTGTCTGTTAGTGAGACTAGTTTGATTATCAAACGTATGTTGTGTTATGAGTAAATTTTGGGCACCTGTGTATGTGTGTATGTCCCTGAGTGCACACACTGTGGTGTACGCCGGTAGACTTCTTTAAAAAAGTTGCAATTGCTTGTCTTTTTTATCTGGCTAGGTGATTGGTAGAGCCAATCGAGCTCATCAACATTTAATGAACGTTATTTAATTCCTCCTTCACTTTAATTTTCTCTCCAGAAGATGCATTTACTAACACAAGGCTGAAAACAAATAAATGATTGCAGTCCCCTCACCTCTTCCTCGCTTCCTCGTACCAAACATAATCGCTGTAGGGGACTTAAAAAATATGTAAAACATTTAAGAAAAAGATCGAGTGAGTGGGTGATGATGCGTTTTTCTGTTTTGTTCTCACCTGGTGAAATGGTAAATAAGAGTGAGTCAGACCCTCTGTTAGTGAGTCAAACAAGCGCATCTTGTGTAAATCTCCCTTTATAGATCCCACACTATATATACTTTGAAATCTACTTTAGATTCAGGCTAAAAATGTTATAATGAGCTTTTAATGCTTACAAATAGAGAAGATAGATCAAGTGAGTTTCAGTGGATTTAACATCCACTTCACTACTCCAACATGTTGGCATTTGCATTGAAACCAGTGAAAGCCCCACCCTAGGCAGTCCATGACAGGCCTTTTTTGTGCTCTTATTAATGCAGATAGATGGTTGCTAGGTGACACTGAGGATGATGATGTCAAAGAAGATTAATTATTATTCCTAAGTTTAGCCTCAGAAGGCCGACCTCATTGATGTCTGTGTCAGACAGGTCTGCTCAAAGCCAGCGCCATCGGCTGCTCAACAGGATGCTCCTGTGTGGGGAGAATTGAAGTTTTTCTCTTCATTACATGTTCAGGCCAAAAACCACCCGTCCCAGTTTTACTTTTTTCACTTAATATTGTTCTACTCTGTGTGTGAATTATTTTGTATGTTTGTAGCGCTGTCTTACTGTAATAGATCTGCAAATTTACAGCCTGCTTAACTCATTATCTGAGATAGCATTACGTTCAACACATCAGTTAGTCCTCATCCTCAAAGCCTTTTCCCTTGTAACATTTAAACTGGGCCTACTGTTTGAAAATATAAACAATATAACACTCACCTCTAACTTGTCCAAGGCAAGCAGCTAAAATGGGCTTTGTTAAAATGAAATATCAGATTTTTCTAGAATACTAGAACCAGCCGTACATTGCAAAACAAAATCAATGCAGTTTCTTTATTTGTATGCTTTTAACATAAATCAATGTTTTGCTTGGGGTATGCAGCTTTAGCCTCAGTCCTTTGACAGAATAACATGCATGTAGTCATGAGGGGATATTTAAGATCCCTGTGAGTTTTTATTTTAAAGCTTGAAACATTTAAAAGTCAGCGGTAGACAACTTTTCAACCAACCCATGAAGCTTACGTTTAACGTTTAATTAGCTGGCAAGCAACAGCTGATAGAAAACTGCTAGCAACAGTTGGAACTGTTGGACTGAAACTGACATGGAATAGCAAGAAATGAGAAGAAATGAGATATTCATTGTCTTTATAATTGCTATCTTTATAATAACAAACAACAGCTGTTTCGTGTGTAGTGTCGCGTCATTTCCCGTTTCACATTTCACGTGTGTTTTCTTGACAAAATGTGGTTTGGGGACCAGCCATCGGGTGACACAGCCGTTGTCAGCTCGTGTAGTGTGTGACCCCCTGTCACCAATCAGTCACGTAGTGTGAACGCAACGACTTCAAGACTCCCGTCACAAGACGTCAAGTTGTGTAGTGCACGGCGATCTGCCAACGCTTAAATTTGCATAGCCTGCACGAGCCTTAAATCTCCTCCATTATCACTGATAGTGTAGCAACAATAACTAACTGGGTGGTGCTTCCTGAACAGTCAATTGATCTGTCAGTTATTTATAATGACCTTATGCGTTTCAGCATCAAGGAAGTGCTCTGACTTCGAAATCTAGTTTTTTAACTTCCTGTCTACACTGCGTTGTGTACATTGACATCTGCTGCTTGTAATCACCTTCTGCCTGACATTTTAGCAAATACCTGTTCTGTTTTATAACACACAGCGTGAAATACTGCCAGAGCTGGAAGAAAATGGGAGACTTTCTAATACAGCAGTCTGACAAACATGACTATGTGCTATTTACACAGTGGTGCTAATTAGATGTGATGTCCCACACAGCTCTGGGATCAGTCGTGTTACTGTTATAATTCAGTCATGGTGACTGTGTTGGTGTTTGTGTTTTATTTATAACAATATCATAACAGAAGTTGTTTGAGTGTAGCCGTTCAACATATGTGTCAGTCCAACAAGAGGAGACTTATCTCGTTAGTTACACCATTACACAGAGCACTGTTTCCCAAGACATGGGCTTATTATTGTGCCACAAGCTGATTATTCAAACTTATGTTATTAATAAAATTTTCATTTGTTGTAGCCTATTTTAATTCTTTATTTAATGTTGTAAGTCAGCTTCTAGACCAAAAACATTTTTGGTCAAAAACATTTTTTGTCTGGTTTACTGATTGTTTGTGGCAACTGCAGATAATGTTAAAACTTAATAACCTGCATCATTGTTCTGATAAGTTAAACTTCAGCGCTCTTGTAATTATTCACCATATAAATATCAATCTGCTGCAACACACAGTAAGCTAGTTGGGTTAGTAGGAAACCAGTTAATGCATAATGTAACTTTCTGCTAAAGATCGTCTTTTTTGCACATATCTGCAGTGGTGGCGTCAGTTCATAAATGGGGACGCATTTTCCGAGAACCGATCAGGACCCTGACTTCTTTACTTGTATTTACTATAGCCGGCGATAGTGACAGGAAGTTAAGAGAATTAAATGAACAAAAAAAGTTCAGTAAGGTTACACCCCAATAATTCAACCAAAACCAAGGAAAACCTTAACAATAAATATTTAAACACCAGTGTAAAAACAGAAACCGTGTAAAACACACCACAGCAATCAGCCTAACAGATGTCCAATCAAACAAACCAACAAACAAAAGTACAGTCAGTTTACAAGCTCTACCAGGCCGGATATTCAGAGTAAAACATCTGCCTGGTTCATTAGAGATGAACTCAGCTATATTTAATATCCTTTTTTGTGGTCTCGTTTATTTTCCTAACGGCTCTTGTCAAAGCATCAGTGCTGTCATTATGAGGTGACCTCTATGGGCTCACAACATTTTATTTGAGCCCAAAATAAACCTAATTACAATATACCATATCCTGAAAGAGTATTTTGTTGTGATCAGGAGGATGTTGGTGCACGAGGGATGTGCAGCCAATATGTTCAATAACCCTATATCCTGCTGATGTGTCCTTGAGCAAGACACCAATCCTCTAATTTTGGGCTAAGACAACACAGTTGAGAGCATCAGCTGAATGACATAAAGGTAAATATACATTGGGCAAGGCAATACAAAGCTGCAGAATGTGATTAACTCTCCAGCATGAAATCTGTGTAACGTACACTCATGACACAAATATTTGAGCAACACTCAATGTTGCTCAAATATTAAATTAATGTGTTTGCAAGATGCAAACAGGCAATCAACAAATATATATATTCCACTCTTAAACACCTGAAGCTGATGCTTCTCTTCTCTGAATGATGTACAATTAATGTTGCATGCTGAGATTCCAAGACTACAGTTAACCAGGCAATAAACACCACAGAGAGAGACAGGCAGGAAATAACACGTAATGAGGGAAATAACAGTCTATTTATATATTACTTTTGTCCATGTGCACACTAAAAAAAACAATATTATATCTGAGGCCAACTCTGAGTCTCACTCTCACCTCATAAATGGAAACAAGGAAATTGCTTCTCTGGAGTCATATACTATCCAACAGTCTCCTCTCCACCACTGTACAATGCTTTTGTTGTGCAGGCTGGCAAGTTAGTAAATGTTCTTAATGGTATCAAGGGCATTTAGTTCTTAATAGTACCACAGATGTACAATAAAGAACCAAATACGGTTCGTGGCAGGAATTCTGAGGCCCAGAAATTATATTTCCTGGTGTTTCTAAACAGAAAAGTCATATGAGGAAATTATATTTTTTAATTTGATCACTTATGGCATTTTATTGGCAAGTGGCCATGGTATGAGTGGGATAATACCCTCAAAGTTGAGAAGTGTTGCAGCTTGTTTGAACATTAGTAAATTGTCTAATTTGGGCTCGGTAGGGTCATCAAAATGTGCATTTCTAACTTAATCCACAAATGGAAATTGCAACTAAGTAATTTTATTAATATCAATACAAAAACTTTTCT